AAGGTTATGATGAAGCTCGAGGGTGTGGGAGCTGTATAGAGGCAGCAGAAGGAAAGTGCTAAACAACCGCTTTTTATCGTGCCCAGACTAGCGTAAGGTTGAAATCGGGGGACAGCTCTCAGAAGGCAAGAGCCGAACTTCAGTTAGGTGGGAAATTCCTCAGTCGTCGAGGTTCTTTTATGATCAAACTCACCAATTCATGTAATTTTCTCCAAGTATTCTTATATGCACTTAATGGCATCTGTCTTTACATTTTTCCAGAGCCCCTTGTCGTATACTCTGCATTTTGACTATCAGAATACTTTTCGCTTGCTTACTTAACCTAAGCTAACTAAACTAAAGTAAACCATAAGTGCTTCTAGCGGTTGAAGACACACAGGTTATGCTTTAACAAGTTTTTGAATTGCGCCACGCGTCTGACTTTCGCTAAGAATCCCAGAGAAAATGGATCCCAAATTCGGCCATCGAAACATCAAGTCAGCCTGCGATATCATGCTTGATCCGGTCCATATCCGGTGCCATCACCTGAGGGTAAACTATGAATTCAAACATGAGAAGAACGAGTAGGCTACGAACCCATACATACCTTCGAATATTTTACACATTTTCTTTATTCTGGGAATATACTTACTATTTCTCATTCGTTCTAGAAAACTACCTGTAAGCTTTCAGGATCTACCTCTCCCTCGGTTGCCCTCACGGCTGTAACGAAGGCGTGAAAAGTCAACAAGGGGATTTTCTTCGGGTCAAAGCAAAAACACTTTTAGCTCAACTAGAGAAATTACAACAGGTTAGTTCGATGACCTTTACAGCCTATGGGAATACTTGCTCAACTTTATCGGTTGTTGCTTTTTGGTTAGGAGTTGCTACTTGATTTTTGTGTTTGCGGCTTGAGGGATAATTGGGGAGCTGTTTGGCTCTACTCAAGCTCCTAATCTCCTACACTTGCTCAGTTCATGCTTGTTACCCTCCTTAAAGAACATTTCATGGTTGGAAATTTCGCATAGTCTTTCTTCAATCGCCTAAATTATTCATCGTATGCACGCCCAGTGCTCGAAATCCCTCGCATGAAGGAGAGCCAAAATTGAGGGGGGGGGGGAATCGTCCTCCTCCCAGGCCAGTCTTTTGAATACTCCAGGAACGTTTCTTATGCTAATGTACGCGTGTTTCACAGGACAGGTAGACATCTACCATAGCCACCTCCACCATTTATCATGTGAACCCCGGGCTAACCTACATTTTGGCTCCACAGGAATGTGCCCTTTTATTTGCCCATCTGTGTAGCTAGGCACGGTTCATACAATCTCGCTAAGTTTCGGCCGAGGCACTTGTGATGGAAACGGTATACGGCACCAGGCATGCGACCGCGAAAAAAATCATTTTTGAAAGACTAGCCTGCTGTTGACGTGGTCCCTCTCTAAAAATCAATGTAAGGGATCGCCTTTCGTGCTATTTTCATGGACTACGTGGCAGGAAAAGCAGCCCTCAGCAGCAGTTCTCGACCCTGCATCCACTCGGACTAAGCGTTTGTGTGCGCTCGGAATTTCCTCCGTGTGAGTGCTTAGGAATCTTTAGGAAGACATACTAACGTAACCTAGCCTTTAAAGTCCATTCATCTTCCCTTAGCACATTCCAAAACTTGATATTAATACTTCTAGAAAACAGTTGACACGGCTTAATGTAAGAGCAGGAGTCAAGCCCGTGTCGGGATTAGACCATTTAGTCCGAAATTGAGCTAGGCTGTACCGCGTCACACTTCGGGGTGATGGAGCGGTTCGCTGTGACAATAACAGGCCTATCTCCCATAGCATGCTGAAGGACATCCCTTGGGCTGAGGCTTATGTTGAGAAATTTATCTTCTTGGAAGTACAGAGTTTTCAAGTGCGAAAGGAAGACAAGCTTTAAAGCCCTACTGTTTTGTGATGAGTTGGCAAAAGACCGAAATAGAAAGATAGATCCTCACTTTGAGAGTTGGTGTGACAAAACTCCAAAGAGGGCCACACGGCCCACTGGTGAGAATGAAAAAAAATGAGAAGACAGATGTTTCGTTCGAAGCACCTCCTGGCTCAAAACCCCACTTTGCTCCATGCTCGCGCACTGCTCTTCGGCCACTCGATTGATGCGGGTTTCAGGCTCTCTTAGACAAAAACCATCATGCCATGGGTCGAGACTCCGGAAACATACGTTTCTGCGGAAGATCAAGTCCTGCTGTGCAAACGAGACTCGAGAGGGTTATCCTTGACTGTGCGAGGCGGACACGCCAATACACAGGCGGTAATTGACTCCGTAGAGGCGTGACGAGCCTCCAGGTCCGTATGCTATGAGGCCCAGTCTTTTTTCGTCATATTGCGCATATATCACTATTTGAAAGCGTCGCAAGGTCGCCAGAGGCAGCTCCGCTTTCATGAGGAGGCCACGACTTAGGTCAGATTGCCCTTGATCGCGTGACGCAAATAACGCAATCCTAAACCCCTTCCTTACCGTATTCTGTCATTCACATCAACGGAATCCGTCGCACTAACGCGCATCTCTGCCTATACGTGTGGCACGGAATTTCCCATCAACGCCCACCGCTTTCAGAAATCTTTCACGAAACCTCGCACCGAATACCAGGATCCGTCCTCACTCAGAAACCTCGGAGACCTTATGCGCTCTATCTACTCTAGTAACAGTAGCCTCGTCTTTGCACAAGTAGAGGATGTAGAGATCGTTTACCATTGAGAGCAGTAATCTAACCGCGCGACATATCAGAACAAGCAATTTCAAAGCCTACAGCCCCTCTCCTGCAACACCTTTTGCCTTAGATAATCGTCATAGACGCGAAACTTTCAAGAACTTGTCATCTCACAAACTATAGTTCCATCTTTGTTCTGACCGTACTCACCAACAACACAGGCGTTTTTTCTGCCTGCACTTTACCACCGCCATCGATGACAGCTATCGATCTATAACGAGGAACTCATTCTGACATGCCTGATCACAAACTTCTCATTCATTTTCCTGTCCGTGGGCTCCACTAAACCTAAATTTTGCTTCAGGGATGTGCCTATAAGTTTGTTTGCTCATTTGTGTAGCGGCATTTATACAATCTGCTAATTTGGCAGCACTTGTGATGTAAACGTATATGGAAGCATGCACCGAAAAAATCATTTTGAATAATGTGTTGAGTAGTCCTCTAAAAATTCATTCAGGATCGCTTTCGTGCTATTTTCATGGACTACGTGGAGGAAAACAGCCCTCAGCAGGTTCTCGACCTGATTCACTCGATTACAGCGTTTTGTCGCTCGGAATTTCCTCGTGAGTGCTTAGGAACTTTAGAGGAATACATACTAACTAACTAACTGACTAACTAACTTTAAAGTCATTATCTTTCCCCCAGCAATTCCAAAACTGATATTAATACTCTAGAAACAGTTGACACGCTTAATGTAAAGCGCGGAGTCAAGCCGCCGATGTCGGATTAGACCATTTAGTCCGAATTGAGCTAGGCTGTGGGTCACCCTTGGATGATGGAGGGTTGTGAACAATAACAGGCTATCTCCATAGCATCTGAAGACACCTGAGGCTTATGTTGAGAAATTTATCTTTCTTGGAAGTACAGAGTTTTCAAGTGCAAAAGGAAGACAAGCTTTAAAGCCCTACTGTTTTGTGATGAGTTGGCAAAAGACCGAAATAGAAAGATAGATCCTCACTTTGAGAGTTGGTGTGACAACTTGAAAGGGGAGTGAATTGAAAAAGAAATGAGATAAAGATGTTTCGTTTGGAGCACTCTGCTCAAAACCCACTTTGCTCGTGCTCCACTGCTTTCGGCCATTCGTTGTGTCAGCATCTCTTAGACAACCCAATCGCATGGGTCAGACTCGAAAATACTTCTGCGAGATCAGTCCTAGTTCAAGAGACTGAGAGGGTTATCCTTGACTGTGCGAGGCGGACACGCCAATAACAGGGTATTGACTCCGTAAGGCGGAGAGGCCTCAGTCGTATGTATGAGGCAGTTTTTTTGTCATTCGCATATATCATATTTAAAGTGCAAGTCGAGAGCAGCTCCGCTTTCAGAGGAGGCACGACGTCAATCCGAGAGCAAAACGCCCTCTTACCGTAATCGATTCAACGAACGTGAAAAGGGCATCGAGGGACGAATCATCAATGCCACGCTCAGAAATCTCTCGACGAAACTCGCACGAATACAGGATCAGCTCACAGAACCGGAGAACATGGTACGGTACTCTAGACAGTAGCTCGTTTTGACAAGTAGAGGGAGAGTAATGACAGAGTAATCAGCGAGTGAAAGCAGTTCAGGGTATTGCAACAGCTTTTGATAACATATAGAGCGAATTTTAAGAACTTGTTTCTACACTATTCCGCTGTTACTACTCCAAAAACTCAGGACTTTTCTACTGCACCGAAATCGATGGAAACTTGTATACAGGGATTATTTGACATGCTTATCACGAAGTTGTCATTCGTTTTTTTTTCTCCGGGCCATTTCGCTCCAAAGGTGCGAAACATCTTTTTCACTGAAATTGAGGAATTGCACAATAATTTTGAATTGTACCCTGATTACGGAAATGACATTCACTCTTGGACATCAGCGCAGTTTAGCGCTCTGCTAAGGCTCAGTGAATGATCACCTTCCTCTATGCTCAGCCATAGCAGTGTACCAATGAACGAGTGCCATACATTGGTCCTGGCCCTCAGAATGAATGTAATCTGCGAGCATTATCTCAAGTAATCCCCATATTTGATTGAAAAAGGAGACGACGCCAGATAGCGCCAGCGCTGAAAACGAGCGTTGTATTCGTGGTCAGAATGTCAACTAACCACTTGTACAAGTTGTCATCGATTTCGGTTAGATATGTTGTGGTGCTAAACTGGCGTCAAGTGGCGCCAAATAGCACCAGTGCCAAAAATGCTCGAGGACCTCTGCGAGCAGAGCCAGAAAAATTTTTTGAGTTTCCGGAGTAGTCATAGTGCAATAGTGCCCTTGTTTCACATACAGTCCTTCTTGATTGTACTTCATGAACATCCGTTGATTAGTATCGTTCAGCCTGCTACAGTACTTTCTCAGCTTCTTTGTTAGGTCTGCCGGTTCAAGATGACGTATCCATCAGTTGTCTTGGATAGAGTTGTGGGGAGATAAGCATAAGACAGACAAAGTTATCAGCACAATAATTTTATGATTGCTATCTGCTGTAAAATAGCTTCGCTAGGTCAGCCTTGTTCCGGCTCGGACCTTCATCTTCGCAAACACCAGCAAGGTCTCGAAGCCGTGGAAAGCTCACCTGGCACGTACGGGGATCGACTGGATACTTGACCAGACCACGTCGTACGCTAGGGGATAACCAGTGGGGAGGGCGTATTTGCTTGTTGTTGGGAGAGAAAGGATGAGGAGGGGGGGTCGAATTCGTCTATCGAGGGGAATTTGCGGCTGATGAATTTTCCCTATTGTCGAACTGCGGTGTCCCTGGGGCCGCCAAGTTTTACACAATTGCTTTTTCCAGTAGTTGAAACTTGGTTAGTGGCTGATGACCCTCCTCCCAACCCCTCCCCTTGGTAGCAAGTTTTGGGGTAAAAAAATAGAAAATTTTAGTGAATCTTGGAAAAAGTGTTCGGAAATTCGGAAAGTCTAGGAAAAAGGTATGCAGGATGGGAAAAATCGGTCGCATCAGAGGGAAGGACCTGAGGGGGGGGGTGGTCGTATTTTCAGAAAATTTTCCCAGACGGCAGGACTTGCTTCGACTCCCGATCTGCTTGGGTGACTAAATGACGGCATTGCTACAGGGGCGAAAGGCCTCCGACGGCCTTTTTCTGAAAGAGTACTCAGCAATCAGAAAATTAAGAACCGTGGTCTCATTTTGACTGAAAAAAACGATTTTCACTAGTATCTTGTTTTATACGTTCCCTATAAAGAGCCTGCTCGGTGATGTGCGTATGCTAGTGAATTTCATCCAAGAGCAGCATGGAAATCCATTTCGCCGAGTTGGTTTGAGCGCTTTGTTGGATGCTATCGATAAATCACCGAAGTCGGAGAGGTTAGTTATTCACTCTCATTCCAATACATTTTTTGTTAACTGTAAGCAACTAAGATAATTTTTAGCAACTCTCACCCCGTCGAAACGACCCCAGTTTTGCTCACCCCAAAAACTCCCTGTCACACCCGTCGATCTATTCTGCGACTACGCAGCGGTAACGTGCGATCGATGTTCGATGAGCGTTCGCCGTCCATCGTCACGAACACATCGCCAAGGAGCCATCAGTCACACCTGCACATCGCTATGCCACGCGTGTGGCAATCATTTGAGTGGGTATCGTGCATGAGCCTTGCTAGCAGGAATCCGGAATTCTCCTGCGCGGAGGGGTGGTATTTTCTCATTGGATGGCAAGAATGCTAGCCAAGTGAGGACAGGGCTCCACGGGCATGCAGCAAAAGGTCACCATGCGATGTCGCTCATATCTTGACGTGTGTAGCATTTGGTTCAAGGCGGTCACTTAACGTGGAAACTGAGGCAGGCACAGAAATGGTGAGACAACGTCTGCAGGAGAGTGGACGAGGGAATAGCTGACGCTCCAGTGAACCGACGCCGCGCGTCCAAACGTGCGCGAGCATGGTGATCTCTTGGGGATGCGTTCATTCTTTGCGGCAGCGTCCACCAGCGTCTACCAGCATCCACTAGCCTTCTAAGCGTATGGCGGCGTCAGCGACTAGACAAGTACAAATATCGACCTAGCTCTGCCAGGGCCTACCGGCGTCCACCAGCGACCCGCAGTCGAGTGTGGGGAAGCAGGAGGGTTGGAAATCAATTGCGGTGTGTGCAACCACACCGCACAACTGCTAAAGCACAGAATTATGCAATTTGATGTGCGGTGTAGTACAGTTGCACATGCCGCAATTTCACGACGCCTAATCGAGCTGTTTGCCACCCTCCTACTTTCCAATATTCTCTACTGCCAGTCGCTGGTGAACGCTGGCAGACGCTAGATCGATATCCATGCTTTAGTCGCTGACGCTGCCGAACTCTCGGGACGCTAGTGGACGCTGGTAGACGTTGGTGGATGCTGCCGCAAAGTATGGGCGCAGCCTTACTGCATGCCTCCACAGACCGCTGCGGTGAGTTTTGGGTCACACTCTCACAGAACCCGTCTCCTCACCAACCGTTCCTCTGTCCGGATCATGACCCTTCGTCCAGTGCGGCGTGTCGCTTAATCCTTAGTGAGCAATTCTTATGTTTTGTGCTACACCGCTGTCCACATGTCACCTCATATATGTTTGGCGATGACTAAAACTACTTCGTCGTCGTTTTTTGTCTTTTTTTCGAAGTGTCGCGTCGAAAATGTCAATGTGTCGCAGTTTTGGGCTTCCTGTTGCTGCCTTGTAACAGTTGACTGTGAACAGCTCTAATGAGTAGTACTGAATTAACATTGCCCTTATGCTCAAACCCACAATTAGAAGTCATTGTTAATCAGTTCTTGTCCACGACAAGTCTACTCAACTTAGATAACCTCTGTAAACGTATTTCAAAAGTCTCCCAAGAGAAAGTGTTGTTTTACTTCAGTTCCGAGGTGCCGCGAAGGGATGAGAGCGGAAAAAACAGTCCCAGCGGGCTGGTGCCACCGATACGTGGAGACCAGGCATCACTTCGGCGAGGATTGTTTCGGAAAAGAGAGAAGGTGAGTGACTTTTAGAAAATCCCAAGGACAGGCATACAGACCGATTCTGTCCACTCACTAATTGTAAGTCGCTAAGGAGGAATATCGCTCTTTCTTCTAACGGGTGGTCGCTCTAGTCACAAGAAGTCGAGAGAAAACCAGAAGATGAATTCAATTTCAGTCATCGCACGACTCAATGTTGAAGAGCGGTCAGGATGATGCCTCAGACGCCGATTCATCGCCATCAACGCCTCGAACCGCATCCTCAATCGACGATGGCTTATCTCCGTTGGTCTCAGCCGCTATGCTCAAGAAAAAGAGCGCTCCGAAACTCCATTTTGGTATGTTCGTTGTATTCAATTCCACTTGTAATTGATTAGGTTGTTCCATTCGTTCTTGCTTTCCTTCGCTGACTCTGACATTGTTTGTAAAATCAGAGCTACTGATACTGCTAGGAGAGAGGAGAGGCACACGGAGGCGCGAGTAGGTTCGCCTTCCGCACCTCTTGCAGAGGCCACAAGGGCCCTAGCCGCCTGCGGTTTTGTAAGGCGAAGCGTGAGCGGGGGCAGGGATTGCTACTTGATGGGGGGGGCGGAGCGGACCTACGGCGGAGCTTTTGTGGTCGCACCGCCGTGTGGCTCCTCCTCAACTACAGTAGCGCTATGAAATCAAGGGTGAACTCTACATTGGGCACTGCTAATGACATTTCTTACTGTTCAGCGTTCAACTTGTTTAAAATCCAACAAAACGGAAAATATGGATGAGGAGTGCTCTGATTCGGAGACGGCGGATGAGCTGAGTGTGAGTCTTTTTTTTGTTGAAGGTCCTGAATTGTTTCGTTACAAGAGAGGTCACAATATGAGTTCCTTATACAACGAGAGACAGAGGCACGGTTAGCTGGGGGCCGGGCGTGTCGCCACGTCTCGTGGGATGAGAAGGCTGTCTTACTAGCTTCTGCAGCCCTTCCGTCAATGACGCTTGGATCAATCGTCCGCCTCCGCCAGTCGTGCCCACTACCTTTAATGTCTGATCCTGGGACTGAGCTGTGGTGCTGTTGTGTTTTCACTCATCTTCTTCCAATATTCGGCTCCACATGAAAATGTAGTTGTCCGACCAGCGCTTCCGAAAACTGCTTTCTCCTGATCTTTCGTTTTCGGAAACGTATTTTTCGTGCTTACAATCAGCTCCATAACACTGCGATTTCAGGAAATCGACTACCTCAGTGCAAAAAGGCCTACCAGCGAATCTATCCGCTCCAAGCATCCAAAAAGTCCCGCCGATGGTAATTTGTTTTCTTGTTTTTTGGCGTTTTTTCGGTTTTCGAGCACGTTTTTTACTCTCTCGTTTTGTTTTTTTTGCTTTTATGGTGTTTTTTTGTGGAACCTCGTACTTTGTATGATTCATTTGATTGTGTGTTTTTTATTGTTTACTTTTTGTATTTTTCTTTTACTTTGCTGTTTTTGGTTTTACTGTCGTTGTGAGAGCCATTCGGATGCGTTGAATTAACAGAATATTCTGATTGATCATGTTCAGCTCAAGGAAATATTCGCCTTTATGGTGTGGTAGTGCCCGCTCCGCGGATGTTGGACAGCAAGGTAAACTACAGTTCCAAAAAATCCTTTGACTGCCTAATCATTTAATTGATTAATTATATTTTCCCGAGGGAGAAATATTTGGAACTTGCCCATAAAACCTCAAAAGACCACATGCCATATTTTTTTCTTGAGTTTTAGCTGCGCTTTTTCACGCTGGATGTTGCAAAGTAATTCAAATACTTCTGATTGCTTGTCATTTTAATTTTTTAGGAGTTATTCCTAGTGATTTCTTATTTTTTGTGGGAAAAAATTTCCTCGTTCTCATAACAAACCACATGAGCTTATGATTAGTTTTTTGCGCTGACTGGTAATTAATACCCCTCGTGATGATAACTCTCCTCAACAAGGCACTTCGTCTTTTACATAGCTCTGGAATCGACTCTTTTGGCCCTGAAAATCCAGCATTCTAGTGCAGTATCTTGATGTAGGATACAAGCAAGTGGCATAGCTGCCACACCCTTAACAGGGGACATTTTGGTTTTTTGTAATTTATTCCATCCACTTTCCAAATCATGCATGCTGCCTCATTTCGACATTTTGTGTACAACATGCCAAGGTCCCCATCTGGAAGATTCGACACAATGAGGGTAAGGGGCCTGTCAAACAGCATCGCGGTACTTCGAAGAACTCGCGTACGCTAGTCAAGCCTTCGTCCGTCCCTATAGAGTTGAGCAGTTGCTGTCGTAAACACCAACCCGACACCCCTATCTGCAGTTGACCATCAGAGGATGGCTTAATGAGGAACATTTCTTCAAACTTGGGTTCAAAGGCAGCCTGCACAGTCACCTCCCTTTATCCCGGTTTCCTTTGTACGGGATGACGCAGGAGGGCTGTGGCGCCGGGTTGCTCCTGTTTCCCGACTCCGTCACGGCGTCACGCGCCTAACTATTTTTGCGGGCGCGGGTGGAGTAGACAAAGACGGTGCCTAGGTATCATACTAGGTTTTGCTGACCTACCTGAGGATCAAGTAAATGTGAGAATAGGGATGTAGCAAATTTGCTGGACACTGAAAGGATGTGATTTGAAGCATTAAGACAGAACATCAAAATGTGTGCGATTCCATAGGTTCCTGATACTAGTAAGGGATTAAAAACATTTTAATGTTTCTGCTGCTGTGCAGAATGAGTATGACATTCGAAAAGGGTATGGTGTTGCCCTCTAGTTAAGGGTACCTTCAGTTCGGCACTTATTAGATTACCGCTCCAAGAGAAGGTCTTTCATGCTTACTCGTTCCAATGCATCCTCGACCAGGGCTCACCATCGCATTGAGTTAACATTTCTTCGATAAGTATGACTCCCCCATACTTATATTTATAATTATGATATTTACTGACACTTTCATACCCCCACTTCCCCTCCCGCCCTTTAGTTGGCACCGCCAACTAGTGCGCAGAGTTCATAGCACTTGGAAAGGGGAGAAACTCCCCGGTTCCTCTCTATCTACCTAAATACGGAATACTTTTATCGGAAGCATGTCTGCCTACGATGAGCGCCTAAAGCAGGAGAAATTAGCTATTAAAAAACTCAGTAGCGGCTCTACTCCGTAGCGGTCAAATTAGGGACCCTCCATGGTGCTTTTGCTGTGCGCTCCCCTCAACTAATCAATTTCTACAACATTGAGAAATATCGTAAGTGAGCTCATTTTAGGGTACGTTACACACCACCAAGCTTTAATTCACGGTCGTTGCGACATTTGAATGTGTATGAGAATAGGACAAGCGGTTTTTGGAGGGCTATTCTTTGCGTGCTCCATATGAGGCATAAGCGATTTCTTTGAGTGCGCTCGGAAGAAAAGCTTTGATGAATCAAGCGACTCGTTCCGAAAATTTTTTCACGTTTTCTCACATAATCGGATCTTTTGTCTTCTCACCTATGCCATTCTCGAATGCACTCACTGCACTGCGATGCTTCGCTGCTTTTTGTGATTCTCTAGCTCAGAGCAGCCCAAATACAGCCTCGCCCAAGATTCGTGATCCCACAGCTGCCGTGAGCAGGGTACAGCATCGTTGTTTGAAGCACATAGGGGGTCGTACTTTTCCGCTGGGGAGGGAAGCGTATTTGGTCGTTGGGAGAGGGGGTCGTATGTGTCTTTGAGAGAAATTTGCCGCGCTGAAAGAGAAAATTTTGAAAATTTTCCCGTTTGTTGGACTTTTCATGTTTTTTTTTTGCTGTTTCATGTGTACTATAAACTCCCCTTCCCTTTCCCCGCTCGACGGAAAATCTTTGGGTGAAAAACTGGAAAATGTGGGAAATTGGTAGGTAGGTGTTGGGAAGGGGGGAGGGTCGTGCCGAGACCCCCATTTAGGTGGGGGAGGGGGTCGTTACTAACACCCTCTCTCGGAGAGGAGGATCGTACCTACATCGCTATTTCACATCACGATGCTTTACCCTGGCTCTGGAGACTCTAGCGCCATGTATGCAAATTTTTCGGCTCGTGAGGAATAGACTAGCATGGGGAACATAGAAGATTGATCGTTTTACATCAAATTTGCGTTGTTCACATCTTGAGGTTTCGCTAGAAATAACTCTTTCATTATTCATGACCAGTCGCCTCGCCGGCTGACGCCGGCGCGGCTCCTTCTGATACGGCCCGGCTGCGCCGGGCGGGCGCGGCTTCGCCGCGCGTACCTTCTCTCACATATTTCTAGACTCAACTGATATCCGCCTTTTGTTCTGTACTCCACTTTTCTCCGGTGTCTGAAGTACTCTTGAGCTGTTTTACAGATTCTTCGTCTGACTCCGCCCACCTCGAAACAGGCTCCGCCCCCAATTTTTGTGCCCACACTCCTCAATGCGACCCCTCTGCTGACCTTAATCCACTTTTCCGGTCTTCGGAGTGCTCTGGGAGAGTTTTGGAGAATTTTTGTCTGGCTCCGCCCAACTCGGGCTGGCCCCGCCCACAACATGTATACCCCACATTTCTTAATCGGCGACCCCTTGCTGACCTGAATTCACTTTATTCCGTCTTCGGAGTGCTCTGGACCGTTTTATGACCGACCTTTTTGTCTGGCTCGCCCAACCCGGCTGGCCCCCGCACACAACATGTAATCACAATAACATCTCACCGGACGACCCTCTGCTGACCTTAATCCACTTTTTTCCGGTCTTCGGAGTGCTCTGGGACCGTTTTTACGATCTTTTGTCTGGCTCCGCCCACCTCGGGCTGGCCCGTTCTCGTACCCCACAATCCTCACCGGCGACCCTCTGCTGACCTTAATTCACGTTTTTTCCGGTCTTCGGAGTGCTCTGGAACCGTTTTACAGACCTTTTTGTCTGGCTCCGCCCACCTCGGAGCAGGCTCCGCCCACAATGTTTTTGCCACAGTCCTCACCGGCGAACCTTTGCCGACCTTGACGCACGTTTTTCCGGTCTTTGCAGTGCTCTGGAACCGAGCTACAAACTTTTAAAGTGAGTATCCTGCGGTTTAGGGCAAGCTCCGCCCACTGTGGGGAGCTCAACACATTTTGAGCATGCCAAATACTCGCCAGATATCTACATTCTGCACTGAGCTTTTTGCGGCTTCTGAACACTCTCGCGAACCGAGTTACTGAGTTTTATGCGAAGCACCGCCCACCTTGAGTACGCCCCGCCCATTTTGGATGTGTATGCCGCAGTTAGTCTGGCGACTCCTTACTAACCTTATTCCCTTTTTTCCCATCTTAGGCTGCTCCGGAAGCGAATTATGAACATTTTTCTGCGGAACCCCAAAATTTCAGCGAGTGCCCCGCCCACTGTGGGCGGGGCTTCGCATAGGTCAAGTGTGCTTTTTATTTCTTGTCCCATGCTCTACCCATCCCCACCTTGACCCGACCTCTCCAAGTCGTTCTTCAGGTCGAACCGAATTTCCGGACAGACAAACTTACAAACAAACAAACTTACAAACAAACAAACAAACTTACAAACAAACAAACTTACAAACAAACAGACGAAGCGAATTATATATATGGGGTGATTATATACAGGGGGGGCCAAAAAAAAGTCATTCCGGCCGAGTCACATATGAGCGAAGTTTTCGCAGCCCAGACAGAGGAAGTGGATATGAGTACCAGGGCGGAAGATACCCAAGATCTTCCTCTATAAGCAGGAGCCGGCTGCCGCCATTCACCTTCATGTACACCAAAATATGAAGTCATCTCCAGTCGCGGCCTGAGTGGAGAACGCCTTTGGAATTCACGTGGCCTCCAAACAGCTGCGGAACTTCTTGAATGGAATCACCCATGGATAGCTACCTGGAGACCAGTACTCTTGATCTGCAAGACCTCCAACATCGAGCAGCTCCGGCAACGTCGCTACGGTCCAGGACATCATCTTCACCCCATTCACCAAGGCGCGGGTTGATGGTATGGACCGGGGTACCTGGAAAGGGGAAGACCGATATTTTCTTTGTAGACCCCGACTGAAGGTGAGCGCTGGCGGTTACATCAAGTAACTCGAGAAGGATATCCTCCCTACATGTGGTCGCCCGTACCTTCTTGGAGACCTTGTGCTGCTACAGGTTTGGGTGCCACCACATGGAATCGAAGGGTTTTGGAAAAACTCCCGCCTACTTCGAATGGAAGGGCGTTTCGTACCTGATGAAGATGTAATATTGAAATATGTCCCCTGACCTGAACCCACTCAATTACCTAGTTCGGGCGGAGCTCAACAGGGTGGTCTACAGTGGCGGAGAAATCAACGATCTCGCTCAACTCCGGTACCCACTCACTTTCGCGCGGCCGAATCTCTCGATGGCGCTCCTCCAGAAGGCTGTGGAGTCATTATAGTATTTAATGTGCTCTTTAATATGGTAGTAAAAATGTCCGATAAAAATTTAATAAAGTGTAACTTATAGCGCCTTGAAAGTCATGGAGGCAAAATGACTTTTTTTTGCCCCCCCCCTGTATATGGGGTGATTATTTGCGGTTCTCCACTCCTTGTCATTAGCTAGCTGTGCCTACCATTTTTGAGTGTTGTTAACGTGGGAGACTTCACTGAATTTTTTGAGAATTTTTGATATATTTTGCTTCTACCAAGGTACGACTGAGGGCACAATTGACTAGTGATTA